GTGTAGGAAATAAGTTAGTTGACTTACTGTGAAGGGTTAACATTAAAGGAAAAATTAAAGAAATGATATATAATTAGTAATTTAATGCTAGAGAAATAAAATAGACTTATTTAAATAAGTTACTCTAGCAAACTCACATTTTTCCTAGGTAGTTTCAAAATCGAGATAAAATCTATTTGAAATCTCCTATCTCAATCCTTATTTCCACCACATATGACTGGAATTATGTTTCATAATATAAGAAATATCATTATACTTTTTTTTCAAAATATCAGGGAGTAAAAAGAACTTTACATTCTCCTTTTGACAGATAAAAATGGAAAGGACTTCTTTATTTCAAAATAGTTATAGAGAAAGAAAACATTATTACAACAAAAATAACTTTTTTTTCCTTTTTTATTTTCCGAGACAGAGTCTCGCTGTGTTGCCCAGGCTGGAGTGCAGTGGCGTGATAGTGGCTCACTGCAACTTCTGCCTCCCGGGTTCTAGCAATTCTCCCTGCCTCAGCCTCCCCAGTAGCTGGGATTACAGGCGCCTGCCACCACGCCCGGCTAATTTTTGTATTTTTTAGTAGAGACGGAGTTTTGCCATCTTGGCCAGGCTGGTCTCAAACTCCTGACCTCAGGTGATCCGCCTGCCTCGGCCTCCCAAAGTGCTGGGATTACAGGCGTGAGCCACAGCACCCGGCAAAAAATAACTTTTTAATGATTAAAAGGAGTGGAACAGCATGATTACAACCAACATAAAAACCTAGTAAAATTGTTTTCTGTGATTCAACTTTTAAGCAGAGAAGTGGGTAATTATAGTGATTTTCTCAGTAATGTATCAGTGAATATTTTCAAAAAACTGAACCAGAGCTTTTTGGTTTCGTTTTTTGTTTGTTTGGGGTCTTAAAAAAAATCTCTTGCCCTGGATATTTTTTCAGAGAGTAGCCTGGATAGTTCAGCTTCACTTACAAACTCCCAGAGATAATGTTTTAATTATTTAACAATTAGAGCAAGTAATTGCATGTTTCATGACTGATATATTAACCATAAGTTTATATACCAAGACAGCATTATATTACATCACAGCTGTTGACATTCAGAGCAAACAAACAGAGAAACAGCATGAGAGAACTCTGTTATTGCACTGCACTGTCTCTTCCATAAATTTTAAACTTCCATTACTAGATTACAGCTAAAGAAAGAACAAGGTTCACTGGGACATCATTTTTAAGATAGTTTTTGTTTGCTTTCAATGGGAAATCTAAATCACAAAATTAATAATCTTAGCCTAATTTGGAAATCACAAATCATCGAATTTTTTTGGAAGGGGAATAGAATTTTGTTGTTCCTAGAAAGTTATATCTCAGTGCAGATTTCAATAGGTGATGTACTGGAATCAGTCTAGGACAAGAAAAATAACACGTTATCAAAATCAGATGGTTGTGTTCTAGGAGTTTTATTTGCCAAGCATGCTTCATGATTAAAATCCACATTACCAAAATATAAATGCACAGACTCAAAGTTACTGAATTTTACGATAGCGAATACCAATCCTATTCCCAGCTAACTCAGACTGCAATTATCATTTCAAATCCATGTATCATGTCTACAGCATAGTTTCATGCATGAATTAGAACTCTCTAAAGTTTTCACCGTTCATTTCACCTCATTTCTGAAACTGAAAGACTATTCCAACTCAAATCATGGAAATTTGTAAGGTTTGTTTTTTGGGAAATGATATACCCCAAACACATGTCTTAGACAGTGACTGGAAGACCCTCAAAAAATTCTTCATTTTTATTCTCCCTTCTGTTTTTTTACATGTATAGTCTTCACAATATTTAATGGGGAAATTGTATTAAGGAAGACATGGTTTTGGCAGTTTCTCTCTTTTATGTGATATTGATCAAAACAGATTTTAAAATAATTGTTTATACTTATGGTTTCTCTAGTGTCATACCAACCAATTACCATCGGCTTGCTCTGGAAGGTTTTAATAGAAAATAATGTGAAGCCTCATCCTCTCAAATTTCATGTTTTTAAAATTTCTACTAGAATACATACAAAAATGCCTTCCATAATACATGTAGAAATTGATGCCAAAGAAGAGCATTATATTCCCCAGGTATAGATGGCTTTATGCAATATATGCACTTCTAGCTAATAAATGTTCCATATATTTTTAAAACATCCAAGTCAGAAAAACAACCTATAGAATGATCAAAGAGAATGAGAAATTATGAGGAGAAAGTATTTGATTCCCTTTTTAAAACACAAAATTTCAGATGAATTCCCTTGTCTCTTATAGTCTACTAGAACCATTTTATATTCCACTTTCATGTTTCTATTCAGATGAGTAATGAACTAACTGTAAATATCCCCAAATCCTCATTTCAAAAATGCATTTCTCACTGTTTAAGATAAATTGGAATACTTCTGCCTTCTGCTAACAGTAATATTTTATTCCACTCTAAGTATTTCCTTAAGGAACAATGAATTTGTATTGTATTGGCTGTCACTTCTCCCATTTTGTATGATATTTCTTTAAAAAGAAGACACCTACTGTATTTGAATTTTTAAATACATAATTTCTTTTTCAGTGTTCACGTATCTTCCTAGCATTCTGCAACAACAGTGAACACCCTAATATTAAACACAGATTGGTGAGTATATAGAAAAGGTAAAGAACATTGAAATGTAGCACGAAAGGTAAAGATACAAATTATTTTTAGTATTATGTTAGTCTGCCTAAGTTCACCAATTCATGTATTGAAGATATTTAGTAATGAATATGAAGCAACTGTGAACCAATGACAAAATATGTAATTTGTTTATTTTTAAAGATGTGAAAAATATCAAATAAGTCATCTGCAAATTCAGTGATTCTAACACAGTCCTTTTAGTTAATAAATACCTAATAACAACCAATAACTGACTGTCATTAGCATTTACTTTTTTGTATTTTGCTTAATTCTTATGTTTAGGAAAATGTCTCCCAGTTACATAAGATGCATCATGAAAAATGGTTTATTAATTTTATTGACTTTTTAGGATTATAAAATATTTTAAAAAACAAAAAGGTGAGGATTTTGAAAAATACTTCAATTTTTTATTCTTCATCCATGCCCTCCTTACTACATATTCATAAACTCAAGTAAAATTAGTCTAGCTCATAAAATATCTCTGTGCCTTCACTAAGCACTGAAACTAGAACTTACTCTATAACTTCATTCATTCTATTAAAAATGATGACCTACACATGTAATTCACAAACCCACTCTTTGTATACATTTAAAGAAAGTCACAAATTAAACCCAGGAAAAAACTGTTATTATACCCAAACCATATCATGTTACTCATAAAAAATACTTTTACGTTGAGAAACTTATCCAGTAAGCAGAATAGCAATAAGAATTAGGAAATGAGAGTGCCCTTTTTAATGGTTAAATATAAACAAAAACACATCCTGTGGAGACATTTGACGTCTATTATGTTTGTTGCCCATCCCAGATCCACTAACTATGTAAAATATGGTATTCATCTGAACTGTAGAAATAATGACTGCAGCATAAATTCATTTAAAGTCTAACAGTAACTATACAAACACTAAGTTTCTAGTTTACCTTTTGAAACAGCATTTAATTGTGTACCTATTGTAACAAAAATGCTCCCACATCTGAATCAGTACCTTACGTTCACTGTGTGATTCAGAGAGCAAGGTTGATGTTATTGTATTATTTAACTGTGCTTATGCTTGAATGACTTCCATTCTTAAACCCATTTCCAAAGCTATGATAAGTTATTTGCATTGTTATCTTGAATGTAGTGACTTCTTTAATATCTCAGACTTTTGGTGAAAGAAAATCCGTTTTGACTTTCACATTACTACCATTTTGTTAAGCTTGAATAGTTGTTCAAAATACTTTACTCCCTGAAACTTAGATTACCACCTTCTTAAGAGTCAACACAGACAAAATAATAAAATCAACATATAGCATGACTTCAAGAGAAAAAAATGTAGGTAAATTCCATTGCTTGTCTTTTTAAAGGGAATAATCATATGGAAATCATTTAATATTTATGAGTTTCTGGATAAATTTGTATTCATTTCTCCACGGAGCACTGATAAAAGGCACTGGATAAACTCTTGCTTTCATAAATGCATTGGGTTTTAAATTATCATGCACCGATTTCTTGAGTCTTAACATGCCCACATTTTTCTTTGTGCCCATTAGAGAAAGCAAACATTTTATTTTCCAAAATACATCTTTTAAGACTGTCTTCTGAAGAGCTCAAAAATACGTTGAATAAATATGCAAATATTTAAATAGCTATCTAGAGTAGAGACCTCATATATATTTCATTCCCTGGCTTAAAGATGAGAGTGAGTAGGCTTTCATTTTTCTAATCCCATTCTTGTTATATTCTATGACTGTAGATTTGATGAACCAAAATAATTTTGAGTTCCTAATCTGAAAATGACACTTTTCTTTGTGAGGACCTGAAGGCCTGGTAGAGTGGGTGGTGGTGGGGATTATTTTGGTGCTGAATTTCTGTGAACAACCATAAATTTTCTCAAGTGTAGCTAGGATTCTAAACATCATTAGTATTTAGAGCTATTTATCAAATTCTGGAAAGCTTTACTGTGCTGTATCTAACCCAGACTATTCTGATCCTCATGCACACAAAAATGGTACTGAGGACAGGGCTACAACCCTTTGTGTTGAAGTTTTTCTAATATATTCTGTAGCAAGAATTGTCATACTGCCATCTACAGACAAAACTGCCCCTACTATAATCATCATTCTACATGCAATTTTCCTAAAACAGCAGTTATTTTGTTCTCATCTTCTACCAAACTCAAATAAATCCATATATCTATTTGGATACATCTGTAGAATATGATTGTTTAGATCCCTCTTTGAAGTCAATAGATTTTGTAAAGTTCTACATCAACTGAAAATAATAAAAAAATATAGTTAGAAAGTTGTATTAGAAATCTGGGTTACCTACCGGTCTGGCGTGTACAGACACAGGTGCCTTGAAGGTTGTCACTGGATAGTTGCAGTCAGAAACACTGTAGGGATCGGAGCTGCTTGAGGAACACTTGGAGATTGAATCACAGGCCACAAAGGTGTTATCAAGAGGCAGTTCTTGGATGATGTGGTGCTTTGAATTCAGGGGAGTTTCAGGCTGAATCTGGAAGGCAGGCTGTGGAGAGGCAGATCTGTAGTGTCGGGCCAAATCAGGGCTGTCAGGCTTGAAAGTAGTGGGTGTGGTGCTCCAATTGTACTTGCCCATGGTTTGCTCTTCTAGATCAATAGGAAGGTCTAGTGTGACTCTGTTTTCATCATTGTCAACATCATCTGTCTTAGTTTCTTCAATAGTGACAAATTTAAGCAGCAGGTTCTTAGGGGAATGCTTCTTCTTCTTCTTTTTCTTCATCATTATCATCTGCCTGTTTTCTGGGTTTGGGGTAGCCCATTCAGAATTCTGCTTGTTTTTCTGAGCAGCCTTAAGGTGTGGTGCCTGGTGACATCTTACTATAGCAGTGATGGAAAGAACTACAACGACAGTTATGGTGCCAGCAAGAACTGCAACCAGGATCTTGACATAGTCACTTGTTGGTGAGGATGTATCAGCTATCTCAGTATTTTGGGTCACTGGTGATTCAATGCTTTTGTGCACCAGTTCATTAATCAGCGTAGCGTTGGTCACTGACTCATTCACAAACAGATTGACAATTACAACACTGAAGAGAGGATCCGGTTGTCCTAAGTCCTGAGCTTTGACCAACAGTCTGTGTAAACCAAGGTCTGTAACACCACATTTCTCCTTCAGTGTTATGTTGCCTGTTACTTGGTCAATTTCAAACAGATCTTTTGTGTTCCCTCCTACAATGCTGTAACGAAGCTCTGCATTCTTGCCAGTGTCATTGTCAACAGCAATTACCTTAAAGACCTCTGTGTCTGGATTAGTGGATGGTAGAACCAATTCGTAAGAGTAGTTGGAAGGAGGGACAATAAAAACTGGTTTGTTGTCATTGACATCAACCACATTTATGGTTACTCTGACACTTGAAGAACGTGATACTCTACCACCATCCTCAGCCTTTACATAGAAGGTGTAAGATTCTTGTTTTTCTCTGTCAAATGAAATATTTGGTCGGATGACACCAGTTTCTGAATCAATGGTGAAGTAATCATTCATATCTAAAATGGAGAGAGTAACTGCAGAATTCTCTCCATAATCAGGATCAGTTACAGTGATTAGTCCTACTGTACCATGTTTTGGAAGGTTTTCTGGGACATAGAAATTGTATTCATTGTGAGTGAAAATTGGGCTATTGTCATTCTGATCAATAACATTGACAAAGACCGAGACATTGGAGGTTAAGGGTGGCACCCCATTGTCTTTTGCCAGAACTGTGAATAAATATTTTTCCTGTTTTTCTCTATCTAGTTTCTTCACTGCAGACAGCATGCCTGTACGACGATCCAGCTCGAACTCAGGTGGAGCATCACTGCCCAGCAGGAAACTGATCTCCCCATTAGGCCCACTGTCTGCATCTGTTGCACTTACTTTCGTCAACTGTGCACCAGGAAAGTTATTCTCAGGAACAGAAAGACTTACGAAAGACTGGGTGAAAACTGGAGGATTGTCATTTTCATCTTTCAGTTTGATGAGGAGCATGGATGACTGATTCAAAGGAGGTTTGCCAGCATCGGTAGCCAGTAATTTAATGGCATATTCTCTTGTGGACTCAAAGTCAAGAGGTGCTGCGGTCTCCAGGAGGAACTGATTACTGAATACTGGCCTTAATCTGAAAGGGATTTCAATATCTGTAAAGCACGTCACCCTGCCATTATGATCTGCATCCTTATCCGTCACAGTTATGAGGGCAATTTTGGTGTTGTGTGGAGCATTTTCTGAAAGAACAACAGTGCCATTGATTGGATTGATGATGTATCTTATGTCAATGGATGGGACATTATCATTGACATCTGTAACATTTACCAGCACCATTGCTTTTGCTGGAGTCAATCCACCATCACTTGCCAAAACCAGTAACCTGTGGCTTGGTGATTCTTCCCTGTCCAGTGGTTCTTTGATTGTGATAAGTCCAGTGGTGGCGTTGAGGTGAAATAATCTCTTGGCAGTGTTGGAGACTAGATTGCTGAAATAGAAGTGGATCCTGGCATTTTCACCTATGTCAGCATCTGTGGCATGGAGCTGTGTCACTGAAGTACCTACAGGAGCATTTTCTGGTATACTGACTTCAATCTCCTCCTCCTTAAAGACTGGGTGGTTGTCATTTACATCAGTAACACTTACTTGCAAAATAGCTGTACTGGATCTTTGAGGAGAGCCACCATCTTCAACCTTTATTTTCATCACGTAGGTATCCTTCTCTTCCCTATCTAACTCCTTTTGAACAATCAGTTGTGGTATCTTGTCTCCTTCTGGTGTTTCAATGACTTCGAGGCCAAAAACGTCTTGACCCTGGAAAACATGCAATGAAACAGAATTGACTTATGTTAATATAAATTAATATATGAATATGAATAATAAAATATAATTTAACTTATGTTAGCTTATGTGATGAGAACAATTTTCAGTTTCTTGAAGCCACATAACATAGTAGGATCAGTTCAGACACAGGTGTCAGAAGACTTGAGTTCTAAGTCTCAACTCTGTTTGTAACAATTATTGTGACTACAAGTAAGTTACTTAACATTTCTCGACACGTAAAATTAGAGAACTGTACTAGACGATGTTCTGGGGGAGGGAGGCTTCAGATTGTAGCATTTTATGGTAATAAATGTAACTCACTTACGTGAACTATATTTTTTTAATTAATTTATTATTTTATTTTATTTTTCCATAAGTTATTGGGGTTCAGGTGGTATTTGGTTATACGAGTAAATTTTTCAGTGGTGATTTGTGAGATTTTGGTGCACCCATCACTGGAGCAGTATACCCTGCACCATATTTGTAGTCTTTCTTTCCTGGCCTCCCTCCCTCTCTTCCCCCCAAGTCCCCAAAGTCTATTGTATCATCTCTACCCTTTTGTGTCTTCATAACTTAGCTCCCATGTATCAGTGAGAACATATGATGTTTGGTTTTCGAACTACTTAAGTTTTCAAAAGGAAAAAGTATACAGAATTGTAAAAATAATTGTCACTAAATTTTCACAAGATAAATGAAGCTATAAGCGAACTATCCAAGATTATTCCAAATGAATTAAAATATTTTTGGCTGTAGATTTCAATTGTCTAAGATGCTTTTTCAGTACCAAAGTAAGCACCAAGATAAAAAGATTCCTCCAAGACAACATCATAAGTGTCATATCTAATAAATACAGCTAAAACCTTTAGCAGATGGGAAAAAAAAAACAACTCTGGTCAAAATGTAAACTTATATAAAATACACAGAATTTCAATATTTCCCATAGGAACACACAATCGAAATGAAATTATCTCAGAGATTAAAAATACAACATTATTTTCTTAACTTTTTTTGTTAACATGCAAGCACAATGAACTAAAATTCACTGGTCAAATCTCAAATTGAGAAAGACATGTTGGGATAGGACCTATTTTCAATTCATGCCCACAAAGTCACAGTATGGGAATATTTAAAAAGCAATCTCCTCCCTGAACTATAATAAGATAATCCCTACACACAAACATAGTGATCTTGCCAGCTCACCGAGGAGTAAGGAGAGAGGAGGATTCCTGTCCAGTGTTACTTGCAGCACTATGACAGAGATGAATGAGATAAAAAGGTACTGCGGGGTGTGAAGAAAAGATCAGAAGAAGACCTTAAGATTCCTATTCACAGGTGATTTATGAATATATATATAGACACACACACACACACACACACACACATACACATATGTACATCTGAATAATTTTTAATTATCACTTTTTTAACATACATGTTGTGGACATGTGGCAAGGATCAGTTATTGGTCTCTTATTTATGTGCTGTGTCATGAAAGAACAGGATAAGATCTGAGGTTATATTTTTGTCATACTACTGTCTAAAACAAGATCCTAAAAATTAGAACCTAATAAATAATAATCGAATTTCAGAGATTGCTAGAATATATAGTTTACAAATATATTTTGATCACATTCTCTTTTAAAAATTTACCTTATAATTGCCTAGTCTTTTTATTTATAAACAAAATATTTTATTATAAAACCATACATTGATGGAATGATCAAATGAGATTATAGAATCATGGCTATAGAAATAGAAATACAAGTCTATTGACTAAGCCCACTATGACTCATGTAGGATATCTTCTAGAGAAAAAGATGGTCATTTAATCAAGTACTTGTGATCATCGTTTTTAGAAAGAAAAGTCAGATGATTCCAAGTTCTAAAGTCAGAAATAGTTAAATTAATAACTGAAAAATTACAGATTTTATTGAATAAATGGTTATTTAGTTGTGAAAATATATTTTTTCCTCCAGAAAGTTAACATGCCTGAGTACTGACCCTCTTTTGTTTATAATTGACAATATCCCCAGGATGTTTTTTTCAAGAAAATTATCAGTATAAACATTTTAACTCTCTAGAGAAAAATTTATATATAATAATTTTCTTGAAGGAAACATCTTAGGATTTTTGCCAATTACAAAGAAGGCTTAGCATTCAGGCTCTTTGTCTTAAGGAAACAGAACTTTGCATTTTTCTTTAATTGCCTAAAAAAACCCTGCTGCATAGAGCTCTTTATGACTCTGATAAAGGACATGTGTTTTTGTGTATCTACTAGAAAAAGGAGCAACCTCTGCTGCCCAGGTTCAAGCAACTCTCCTGCCCCCAGCCTCCTGAGTAGCTGGGATTACAGGTGCCTGCCACCGTATCAGGCCAATTTTTGTAGTTTTTAGTAGAGATGGGGTTTCACCATCTTGGCCAGGCTTGTCTTGGATCCTGACCTCATGATCCACCAGCTTTGGCCTCACAAAGTGCTGGGACCACAGGCATGAGCCATGGAGACCAGCCAGATTCTGTTCGCTTAAAGCAGGATCCATTTTTCACATGTAATTTCACAATGCGTGCTATGACCAGCTAAGCCTATAAATGATCATTGCACGAAATCAGGACTCTAAGGTACTACTGTTTTAATTTACCATGGCCTAGCACATGTAGCAAAGTTGCATAATAGAAGAAAAACAAATCCTGGTCTTACAATTCTCATGGCATTAACATAATCTCCAGTGAGTAAAATGATATTTCTTAAAAATTGGCCCAATTTATCTATTTTAACTATAGTCTATAAGGTACTTTCAGTAACAAAGTGATTGTGATAAAGAAGAATGCTGGCCAGGTGCAGTGGCTCATACCTGCAATCCCAAGACCTTGGAGGACCAATGCAGGAGAATTGCTTAAAACCAAAAGTTTGAGACCAACCTTAGGGAGACATCATCAAATACAAAAAATTTTAAAAATTAGCTGAGCATGGTGACAAATGCCTGTAGTCCTTCCTACGTCAGAGACTGAAGTAAGAGGATCACTTGAGCCCAGGAAGTCAAGGCCGCACTGAGCCGTGATCATAGCTACCCTCTATTCTGGGCAACATAACAAAACTCTGTCTCATTAACAACAACAACAACAAATAATCTTTTTTCTGTCATTCAACACTTGATTTTGAAAGCTTGATAACCTGGTTAATAGAACTGAGGGTCCCTGGAAAGAGGTGTTTTTTTCTTTTCTTTTTTTTAAATTTTTAACAAGTTCTAGGGTACATGTGCAGATCGTGCAGGATTGTTACATAGGTATACATATGCTATGGTGGTTTGCTGACTCCATCCCCCCATCACCTACATTAGGTATTTCTCTCAATGTTATCCCTCCTCAATCTCCCTACCCCCTGCTATCTCTATTTGATTCTTCTCTCTCTTTTTTTATTTTTTTATTTTTTATTATTAGTCTGGCTAGCGGTATATCTATTTTGTTGATCTTTTCAAAAAACCAACTCCTGGATTTATTGATTTTTTTTGAAGTTTTTTTTTGTATCTCTATCTCCTTCAGTTCTGCTCTGATATTAGTTATTTCTTGTCTTTTGTTAGCTTTCAGGTTTTTTTGATCTAGCTCTTTCAATTTTGATGATAGGGTGTGGATTTTAGATCTTCCCTTGCTTCTCATGTGGACACTTATTGCTATAAATTTTCCTCTAGACACTGCTTTAAATGTGTCCCAGAGATTCTGGTACGTTGTGTCTTCATTCCTGTTGGTTTTGAAGAACATCTTTATTTCTGCCTTCATTTCATTGTTTATCCGGTCAACGTTCAGGAGCCAGTTGTTCAGTTTCCATGAAGCTGTGCAGTTCTGAGTAAGTTTCTTAATTCTGAGTTCTAATTTGATTGCACTGTGGTCTGAGAGACTGTTATGATTTCCATTCTTTTGCATTTGCTGAGGAGTGATTTACTTCCAAATATGTGGTCAGTTTTAGAGTAGGTGTGATGTGGTGCTGAGAAGAATGTATATTCTGTGGATTTGGGGTGGAGAGTTCTATATATGTCTATTAGGTCTGCTTGGTCCAGATCTGAGTTCAAGTACTGGATAACCTTGTTAATTTTCTGTCTCATTGATCTGTCTAATACTGACAGTGGAGTGTTAAAGTCTCCATTATTATGGTGTGGGAGTCTAAGTCTCTTTGTAGGTCATTAAGAACTTGCTTTATGTATCTGGGTGCTTCTGTATTGGGTGCGTATAGATTTGGGATCCTTAGCTCTTCTTGTTGCATTGATCCTTTTACCATTATGTAATGCCCTTCTTTGTCTCTTTTGATTTTGTTGGTTTAAAGTCTATCTTATTAGAGACTAGGATTGCAATTCCTGCTTTTTTTCTGTTCTCCATTTGCTTGGTAAATCTTCCTTCATTCCTTTATTTTGAGCCTATGTGTGTCATTGCAAGTGAGATGGGTTTTCTGGATACAGCACGCCAATGGTTTTTGACTTTTTATTCAATTTGCCAGTCCGTGTCTTTTCATTGGGGCATTTAGCCCATTTATATTTAAGGTTGATGTTGTTATGTGTGAATGTGATCCTGCCATTTTGATGCTAGCTGGTTGTTTTGCCCATTAGTTGATGCAGTTTCTTCATTGTGTCGATGCTCTTTACCATTTGGTATGTTTTTGGAGTGGCTGCTCCTGGTTGTTCTTTTCCATGTCAAATGCTTCTTTCAGGAGCTCTTATAAGGCAGGCCTGGTGGTGATGAAATCTCTCAGCAATTGTTTGTTTGTGAAGGTTTTATTACTTCTTTGCTTATGAAGCTTAGTTTGGTTAGTTATAAAATTCTGGGTTGAAAATTCTTTTCTTTAAGGATGTTGAGTATTGGCCCCCACTCTCTTCTGGCTCATAGGGTTTCTGCTGAGAGATCTGCTGTGAGTCTGATGGGCTTCCTGTTGTGGGTAACCCAACCTTTCTCTCTGGCTGCTCTTAGCATTTTCTTCTTCATTTCAACCCTGGTGAATCTGACAATTA